CACAGGATTCCATACCCAGGAAGGAAGGCTGGAAGAGAGCTTCAGGGCAACGGAACCTCTCGTTACCGATGGTGATGACCTGACCATCGGGCAACTCGTAGCTCTTCTCGAGGGAGGTGCTGGCCGCAGCGGTGGCCATTTCCTGTTCGAAGTCCAGGGCGACATAGCAGAGCTTCTCCTTGATGTCGCGGACGATTTCTCGCTCGGCCGTGGTGGTGAAGCTGTAGCCTCTCTCGGTGAGGATCTTCATGAGATAGTCGGTAAGATCGCGACCGGCCAAGTCCAGACGGAGGATGGCGTGGGGAAGGGCGTAACCCTCGTAGATGGGTACGGTGTGGGAGACACCGTCACCGGAGTCCAGGACGATACCGGTGGTACGACCGGAAGCGTACAGGGAAAGGACGGCCTGGATGGCGACGTACATGGCCGGGCTGTTGAAGGTTTCGAACATGATCTGCGTCATCTTTTCGCGGTTAGCTTTCGGGTTGAGAGGCGCTTCGGTGAGGAGAACAGGGTGTTCCTCTGGAGCGACACGCAATTCGTTGTAGAAGGTGTGATGCCAGATCTTCTCCATGTCATCCCAATTAGTAATAATACCATGTTCTATAGGATACTTTAGTGTCAATATACCTCTCTTACTTTGCGCCTCGTCGCCAACGTAGCTATCCTTCTGACCCATACCGACCATCACGCCCTGTGGACGATCAGATAACAATCTATTGCGTGTTTCTTATTGTTAATTTGAGTCAAAAGATGCATTTAAAAAATATTACTTTATGCATATACATTATATAATTTTAAAAAATTTTAATATAAAATTGCAAAAGTAATATAAAATAGATATTACACATTATGTCGATATATTTGTAATAGAATTAGATTAAATAGATATATGACTCTAAATGATGAAGTGCCAACGTTCTCTAACCAACCTGATGACGAGGGCGGCCGACGATGCTAGGAAATACAGCGCGCGGTGCATCATCCCCTGCGAACCCGGCCTTGCACATACCGGATCCATTGTCCACGACTAGTGCCGCAACATCATCGTCACACATCTTGGTCGGCTGTTACAGTTACTTTCTGCAAATATACATCGAGAAATGCAAAAGAATTTTTTGTAAGATAAATCGATTGCAGTTACGACGATGAAATATTGTAATTATACATTTTCTAATCAATAAATCAATTTATTGAATTAATATAATTGCAACATATATATAAGTTAACAGTTAAATTACTGATAAAGAGAAGCTAGAGTTATCCTACATTTTTTTTTAATATAAAAATTTTTTAGAATAAATTCTGGTTATAAAAATTTTCAATAGTAGTAAGCTGCTAATAAATTTTTTTAGCTTTATAATTATCACGTTTCACTTTTATACATCCACTTATACATATTCACCAGATATCACTTCACGTCTTATACGATTACGCAAACCTCACTCGCGGTTCGCACGGTTCTCCTTGAAGATTCTCGGAAACTACCGTCTGAATCTTCCTATCAACCCTCTCGACTTGAAAATTCACTGAGCTTTAACTTAGCACGGTTTGTTCGAATCACTACCGAGATTCTATAGTCTGGTACCAAAGATTCTCGCGAACTTAGCAAAACGAAAAAAAACCGATCAGAGAAGATTCCCCCGGAGACGATGCACGTGAATCAACGGGGGTGTGCGACGTGATTCGCGATTGCTACAGGAATAACGATTTACCGTTCGCTTGATGTGAGAGTCGAGGGAGAGAGATCGGCGATGATCGCTTAGGGTCGCGTGTAACGTCGTGCAAGAGGCCGGGCGAGAGCGGCAAGTGGCGCAGTACCGGCTCCGTGGGGTCCCTTTATCCATATCGGTCTGCGGACGAAAATAGCGATCCGCCCCTTACATGGAAATCGGCTGTCCGCTGTTAACGTCGGGCCGGGAGCCCGCGCCGCCCATTAGAGTCAGCCTAGTCCTTAGTTCGCCCTAAAGAGAGGAGCCACGGTGGTGGGTGGGAGGGAGGGAGAGAGGAAAACGCCGGGCATCTCGCCGACGGCGGTGACTGCGACGTCGACGCGGCGGTGGCCGAATCGGCCCCTCGAATCCAAATAAGGACTCGTTACGCGACAGGGCCGTCCATTGTTACCGCGGGCCTCGGCAAAGGGATGAAACTCTAAGGGAATAACGAAGGATGAGGTCTGGAAGGGTTGAGAGAGTAAACGAGAATCTTGACAAATAAAATCCTGAAAGATAGAAAGTAACAAAACTTGAAAAAAATGAGTATAGAGAGGGAGATCCAAGTAAAAGGATCTTGCTCTAAAAAGAGCGAATTTTAAAGGATAAATTCTCCAAAAATCAAGCCGCAAAAAACTGAAAATATTTATCTCAGAAGAATAAGTTTTGAAAGATCGAAATGAAATAACTGAAGTTTGAAAAAATAGACTTTGAACAGCTTAATACTGGTTGCGTTCGGGAAGCGTCCTATCAGCGCGATTGCATCATTCCTTGTTACGTTCCAATTAACGATAAAGATAAAACAATAATAGCACTGATAGTGTGCTTTCAACGCAACCATTTGCTATGATGTATTGAGAGTTGTGTGGCGCCTATCATATTTGTTTTTCAAACAAAATCGCAATTTTACGATGCGAGAGGTAAATCTCTTCTCCTAGAATGAAATAACAGATTTAATTGGTAGCCTGTTAATTGCCTGAAAAATAAATACTTTTACCTTCAGTTAAGTCATTCTTTGATATGTATCGCAAAGAAATTCATTAAATAGTCAAGATCGCGCCGCCAAGACTAATAACTCGCATTTTTGGCACGCGTTATTAACATTTGGCAGCGCCTCCGTTGATATATGTAGCGTGATATTCAAACATTTTGACGGAAGGGCATCACTGTAGTGCAGCTAACGGATAAAACGACTAATTGCAATTTGTTACAATTTGGCAGGTGCACGGGGCGACTCGCCTGCTCGAGCCATCGCAAAGATCCCCTCTTCTACCTTTTTGCATCGCCGGCAAAGCCGATGCTGATGCCGATTCGCATTGTCGAGTTTCAACCCCGAAAGGGCGCGTCTTTTCTTGCCGAACACGCTCGCAATTGTCATCGTTATACGCTCGGCCGTGATCGACCATCAAGACAGCTTCGTTATGAGTGCGAAAAACGACCGGATCCTCATCAGCGAAGATACCGAAGGTGAACGTTATTTCGCTTTTTTTTACCTCGAAAGATCAGGAGCAAAATCCCTTAGGAGGATTTGATTAACGCTGCAAGCATTATAATTGCGTCTATTGGAAAAATTTAGAATCCTCTCACGTTTATCAATAAAATTTGACTGCATGTCACTAATGTGTTGAGACCTAAAGGCATAAAAGAATTTATAATTGATGTAATTATAGAACAATCTGGCAGCAAATTAAAGCGCTCGCACGTGGAATTATTATTTTCTCTTATGAGAATGTGTAACTATAAACTTGTTGAACACTATATAGTACCACCTTTCCCTATATATATATTTTTGATCATGCACACAATAAAAAAAATATTGCATTACTATACCATTTCTGCTAAACAAATGTGTAATATCGCAAAGTTGTACGTTGGATTTCAAGAATGCGTGGATTCTGGAATGCAGCCAAATATTCAAGACATCCCCGGCCATATTTTATGTAATCTCGATTGTGCATTATGTTTTATGTAATATAGTCGTAATGGTATACTGGTTAATGCACGCTTATTTCTGTGCATGTACGTCCCGCTGCAGAATTACAAATGAGCTGAGAGATAAACTTAGAGAAAAACATGGTTGCATCATAGTTAAATTTGTGGTTTTAGTTTTAAATCAAATTTCCAACATATTAATAAAAAGCAGTGACATTTACGACAATTTTAATCATGTAATATATATAAGGCTCACTTATATGCACATGCATGTCTCCTAAATAATTTTATATCAATTATGCACAAATCTCAAGTCTTAATCAAGTTTTTACATGTACTTGATTATATTTTTATCTTTTTATGAATTCAATAACTTTTTAACACTTTAGTAAACATATTCTAATGGAAAAAATGTTATTAATAATTTTTAATATATTTCTTTTTTTCATAAAATCATAATACCAAATATAGTTACGTTTTACGAAGCATAAATGTGCATTTCCACAATGTTGTAGTTTTGTACACTTAAAGATTATAACAAAGATAGTAAATATATATTTTAAAATCATTATAATTTTTACTTACAATTAGATCAGAAAAGAATTAATAGATCTTATTTTGTTATTAAATTAATTGAATAATTAATTATTTAATTCAAGCCGAATACTTATAAATTAAATTATTTAAGAGATAAAATATATCCCGTGTAAGATTTATTAATATGAATTATTAATTCAATTAAATATATTGAATAATTGTGCGAATATGAGGGTATTGAAGAATGAAAATTACGAATTGCACGGCTGTAAGAGAGAATATAAGATTGATTTATTCCATAGACGTAAACTTATATACAAAAGATGACGTATATGCTCGTATGATAGTCGTTGGTAAAAGACTCGCCGCCACGGACCAATAGTAACGATAATAGTATTCGACTAACGGAGACCCAACTAGACGAAGCGATGCGGCAGTGAACGGTACATCTTAGGGAAAGGTGTAGCAATAATAACAATAATAATAGTGAATAGCATCGAGCGTAATTGCTTAGAAGCACTTGCGGTGGACGATGCCGGGGCCAGATTCGTCGTACTCCTGTTTGGAGATCCACATCTGCTGGAAGGTGGACAGGGAAGCCAGGATGGAACCACCGATCCATACGGAGTACTTCCTCTCGGGGGGAGCGATGATCTTGATCTTGATGGTCGAGGGCGCGAGGGCGGTGATTTCCTTCTGCATACGATCGGCGATACCGGGATACATGGTGGTACCACCGGAGAGGACATTGTTGGCGTAGAGATCCTTACGGATGTCGACGTCGCACTTCATGATGGAGTTGTAGACGGTCTC